TTTACTACAGCAGCCCCCAGATTTCTCAGGATGTTTCTGTTTTCCAGAGCTCCCTCTGCCCTGTTTGGCTGTCTCCTCTCCTGTGTACAGCACTGCCCAATTTATCATCCTCTGTATATTCATATATGATTGCCTCACCCTGTAAAGATAAAAAAAACTGAAAGAGCACCAAGCTCTGTAATTCTGAACCAGATGCTCTTCATCTGGTTAGTTAAGGAGTAATACCCCTGGGCTTCTTTGCAACATTTACATCAGAGAGAGAACTGATGTTTTTTCCTAGCAAAGGCACATCTGAGCCTTCATTTAGCTTATCCCAAGTTCAGTTTTGTCACATTTGTTGAGCTCTCTAAGGACTTAATTTTCTCTAAGACAGAGAGAATCCCAAGAGAATTAAAGAGCATTCCCTGCATGTGAAGCATAAGCCTGGATACCACCATCATGTAACTATTTGATGCAGGCCTTCCAAACACAATGGGACAAATTCATTCCTCAGCTTGACTCACCTAAGTTCGAGGTCTTTTCTGTACTTGGTTTCCTGCATCTACATCAGGCAGAGCTTGGCCCTAATATTTTGATATATGAAAGCACAATTTGACCTTGGTCAAGGGCAGGGGCAGAAAAAGCATTAGAAATCATGGATAGGCAAATAATAAAAATTCAGCTAACCAGAGTCTGCAGCTTCACCACCACTTCAGGTGAAAATATTCTATATAATATTGTCATCTGTGTGTGGAACACATCCCTGATGTACACGCTTGGAGGTGCTGAGTGATTTCCCTCTGCCTGGGTCTCCGTGCGTCAGGGTTGTGTGTGTGTGACAGGTCATTCAACTCCCTTATCTTCTCACCCACTCACTTTTTTGTGAACGCTGAGATTTTCCACGTTTGGAGAGGAGGAGGGAAGCACAGCTCACCAGGGAATAACAAGCTGTCTGCAACTGCAAGCAGGACCAGTAGTCTGGATACTAGTGTGACCTGTTCAGAAATTACAGTAAACTCAGGAGGAGCAGAGAGATGAGAAGCATTGGATGTCTGTCTCCTAGGACAGGAGCTGTTAACACAGAGCTCTGCCTTCTCCTGCAAGGTTTGAGCACTGGAGACAGTCACTCTTCCTACACTGGTTCAGCACAAGACTTTGAATCCAAGGAACTAGAAGGGAACATGTCAGGTTTGCTTGGTCTTTTTTTGTTAAAGCATATTTAGTCCAGATCCATGTGCACATCAGAGTTACTAATTTGGCTAAAGAATGACCTATTTCAGGCAGAAACTTAACCACATGCATGCATATATGAAGCCAGAGGTGCTTGGACAAAATTCCTAACAGGTCATTACTTGCCTGTTGTATACACATATAAAGGAGCCAATTTAGGCTGAGGTGGGCTTCAGCATCGGTCTATGTCGCAAAGCTATGAAAAGCCTCTGTAATTCAAAGCATTGCACCCATGCTGGACAGTGCATTTCTAATTTCATTCATCTTTTAACGTTGTAAACCATGTGTGCTTCCTGACCAGGTCCTGGCAACAAAGGAGCACTGTATATGTATGTTGAAAAGTCTGCTTCGTTTTGGGCACGGACTATGGCTGCAGGTTCTGCCAACAATAACAAGATGTTTGTCCTTAGAAAAGCACACAAAAAAAAAACAACAAACGAGAACCTCTGGTTCTTCCAGGTGCACCTGCTGTAGAAGTCTAGCAAAACAAGAGGGATTTTGTTCAGGTTACCAAGACAGTGTTATCCTGGGGCACAGGAGAGAAGGGCTGCAGTCTCTAGAAACAAATGTTCTTGCGCTGTAGAACCAGTGCTGTGTCACTATCACCAAGGCTAAGAGGCACTACTGCATACAAAAAAGGACACCAGTTTGCAAGTTGCAACCCCTGTTCCCAGACTGCCACTAACACACTGACCTTGAACAAGGAGTTTGCGCTTCCTGTACCCCAGAGATCACAATCTGCAAGATAAAGATGACAGCATCTACTGCTAAAAGGGGGCTGGGGATCCTTAAGTGAAGGTAGAGCTGTGTAGCAAAGCAGCAATCTCCAGCACAAAGCTGAAAGCATCCTTCCTAAGCACGTACATATGTGAGCGGGCAGTTTTGAAGTGTAGGGACCACTTGGGTCTGGCTGCAGCCTGACAGGTGTCAGCACAGGGGGAAAGACCTTGGCCCACATACCCTCCACGGCAGCTCTCTGTTGTGCCACACGCTGGCCTGGACCTGGTATGAGGTGACACAGCTGGAGGAAGGCAGGCCACAAGCGATTCTGGATGCTCCACTACACAGGGCTGCCACTTCTCATGTGCCCTGTACCTAAAAGGAGATGGTTACCTCCCCATTCAGTAGCTCAGAAACGATGGACTTGTTGCATGTTTTCCACACACACACCTATGTCTGGTGTGTAAGCCTCTTCAAAACATCTTGGGCCCCAGACTTCCAGTTCATTGAGACACCTGATTAACTATCAGATACACACTTCTGTATCCAATTGAGAAAATCACACATATCAATTGGGCAAAAATAAAATGGCTTTAACTTTGGGTTTTTGCCCCCTTGCTGGAAAGCGCACTCCTACCGCACAAAGGAGCCTTCCTCAGGGACCCTCTCATGCGCCCCTGGGACCTGCCAATAGGTCAGTGCAGCGAGGGAGAGCAGAACCAGTGTCATAATCAAGCTCTCCACTTTATTTTAGAAACATCCTGCAGAGATGGCGACCTCCTGTCACCTTCCTTGTGGGAAAAGTTACCATGAAGTGTTGAGCTCAGCTATTTATATCACTGCTGATAGTCTTGCCTGTCTTCTGAAAAGGGGAAAAATTTCTTCCTAAGAATCCCTGTGGAAATAAACTCATATAAAGAAGATGACCACACAGGAATAGCCCTCCTGGCTCTCTGTAGTGAATTTCCTCGATGTTTATCAACATGCCAATGAGTCCCACCACAGGGAGCGCACCTGCCGGAGCAAGCAGCAGCGATGTAAAATGCTCACATGTCCTTCAGAGCATGTCACATCACCAAGAGGATAGGAAAAGCAGCTCCAAGAGCAGCAGATGCTTCCCCTCCCACAGAAAAAAGTAGTGCAGAAAGGGACAGGTGGAGAACAGCCCATGGCTGGTGCACCAGCGGGTGCTGACCCCACTGGGGTATTTTTATCATGGAATTTGGCAGTCACAAGGCAGCTTGGAGCTAAGTGGACCGCACGCCCAGCCTGTGGTGTGATGCTCTGGTTTCCACAGCTTTAGCAGCATTCCAGGTGATGATTAAGCCAGGATGGCCACGTCGATGGATTAGTGCCAGGCTGCACTGGGCTTTGTCACATACGCATTTCCCGGTGCCAAGATCCCGTGACTATGCACACGCAGCAGAAAGCTGTCAAGCCACAGGCATGGCCAGGCAGTGGCACAGCTCACAACTCTGCATGAATATGCATGACTCTGGTGTTAAGACAGTGACAAGACCCCACAAATGTACCCAGAGGTGTTTTTCGCCAAGTCACACCAGAGTGAGATAAGATTTGTCCAACTGAGTCCAAAGAAGGAACATAAAAGGCCAGAGATGTGCACACACTGAGAGGTCAAAGCATGTGAGGACAAAGCATGTAAGGACAACAGTAGTCTGGGAATGAGGAAAGGGAACTATGTGGAAAATTCCCAAGACTAGTAAAGCCATGAGGAGAAAGGCTAGGTCAAAGGCAGGAAAAGCTGTCAGGAGATGACAACAATCTTTCTTTGCTTGCTGGCAGCAGAGATATGCTCTCTTCTGTTGCTCTAGAAGGCCCTTGATCTGGCATTGCAAGAAGAGATGGCTAATAACTAAATACGTGCCAGACAAAAACCACTGCTCTAGGAGAGAAAGCCCTTCTGGTTTCCAAAACCTGCTCTCCTATGGCCACCAACCCCCTTGTGGCAGCCACCTCTGCTCTCTATGGAGCTGTTGCAGGATGATCAGGAGGCATCCTTGGGCAGCCCGTCCTTTAAACAGCTTGTGGCAACAGCCAGCAGCAAAGTGCAGAGAAAATGGCCCTATTATCTGCTGTATGTGGCTGCTAGCCTTGGATCCTTCTGATTTACATCCTCTTAGAAAACATCGTGTATGTTTGAAGCAGGTGATTTACCATTATTCTCAGATCCATTAACATTTTTTATTTCCAGACTCCTTGCACTTACATTTTCTTTACTTCGTGTTCCATACACACTGATTTTTACAATTTGCAAGTGCCTTGGTTTAGTAGCCTTCCCTAGGGAAAACAAGCCATACCAAAGCCCCAAACTACCTGACCATGGCAGAACTAATGGAAAGAGGTGCTCAGTTTGTGACTGCACATGCCCATGTGTCGTGGTTTAAGCCCAGGCAAGCAGCCACTCGCTCACTCCCCCCCCCCCCTTTCTCCCCCCACTCCCGGATGGATGGGGAGGAGAATGGAAAGAATGTAACTCCCACAGGTTGAGATAAGAGCAGTCCAGTAACTAAGGTATAACACAAATCACTGCTGCTGCCACCAATAATAATAATGATAAGGGAAATAACAAGGGAAGAGAACACAACCGCTCACCACCCGCTGACTGATACCCAGCCCAACCTAGCAGTGATCTAGCCCTTCCAGGTAACTGCCCCCAGTTTATATAGTGGGCATGATACGCTGTGGTATGAAATACCTCTTTGGTTAGTTTGGGTCAGGTGTCCTGTCTCTGATTCCTCCTGGCTTCCCCTCCTCCCTGGCAGAGCATGAGACTCACAAAGTCCTTGGTCAGAGTAAACATTACTGAGCAGCAACGAAAAACATCGGTGTCATCAGCACTGTTCCCAGGCTGAAAGTCAAAAACACAGCACTGCATCAGCTACTAAGAAGGAGAAAAATGACTGAACCCAGGACACCATGGCAGGAAGGAAAACAGCCTGGGCACACCCAGGGAGAACTGTGTCCATTTTTACCCTAACAAGCAAGGTGAATCAAGAAAAGGCAGCCATCAGCAGGAGCAACAGGGGCATCTGCAAACAATATAAACTCACCTGGGAAAATGAGGACATTCACCACTGGTCATGCTGTACTGGAAGGAATATTCCACGCATACAGTTGTGTTACAGCATATCAATGTCAGACACATCTGTACATCGAACTGTAGGTGGATGGTGCCTTGTCTGTACTCTGGGTCTGGGGCAAACAAAAACAAAACAAAACAAAACAAAACCTTATTTCAGTGCAACAGCCTGTAAATATTCCCCATCACTGATTTATCTGCTTGCATTGAATCGCCTGGTGCTCACAGGATGAAGCCATATGCTAATTTCTCCAGAATGCACTAACTGCACTAAAGCCATTTCAGAAGGTAAGACAGCCCCACACACTTGCCAGTGCAGACAAGAGGAGTCAGAAAAGACTAGCTGATTTTCTGTGTTACTGCTCTTCCAGTTCTGGGCTAGCAGCACAATGAAAGCTTCTGCAAATGCCAAGCAGCCAGCAGGATGTACATCAGCACAACTGCAGTATGTCTGCTGAAGCAGGAGAGAGGCAAAGCACATCCTTTGCTCCCTCATACGCCCCTTCTCACTCATCACACAGCTTCTGACAGGCAATAGGGCAGCAAGTGTTCACCTCCCTGTCTCCTCACCTGAGCAGTCCTCACCTTTCCTTACCTCAGCAGCACCAGAAGTTTAAGGATTCAACTTTTGACCTTCTGCATCCACCCTTGCAGATGGACACCACACAGAAACAATAGATGGCATAAATAATTTTGTGTGCTGCTACATTGAATTATATCACTTACATGAGCAGAGGAGGGGATATTATTCCCCCAACAAGGGTACCTCTCTGTTCTCCAGCTTTTGCTCACAGCAAATCTACACAATATTGCTGCAGTAAATTTTTAGCTTTTAACAGTGTCTACTCTCCACAGACATTCTTTGGACGGTAAAAATAATTTGCTCTTAAAGACAACACAAGGGACAATAAAGAAGGAGAGTTAGCAACTTGGTCCCTACAGCTTTGGGATTTACAGAGTCCGGTGCTTTAATTATTTCATTATGGTGATTATTAAGTTTCTCATTTACTTATTAAAATTATATTTTCAAAAAGAGTGACTGTGGGAGAACATTATCTGCAAGGTAATACTGCATACTTTATAGCACCTTGCCCTTAACTCATGCACAAGGGAGAGCTTTGCAGTGCCCAGGGAAGGTAAGTATGGCGAGTATAACTGGATCAGATGGTTGCTCAAGCACTGTCACAGAGCTCCACAAAAAAAGGATTAAACTCATCATTCTCTTTTTATCCAAGAGGTTAAGTGACTTGGCCAGAAACAGTCCATCAGAGACAGAAACAAGACTGAAACAGGCTCTCCTACATCTTCATTTTGCAATCTTACTACCAGCCCACCAAACCCTTCCTCTTATCAGACCACCTACCACAGCACTTCCCAGGAGCTGCTGGTCCTTGGGAGGCACTTCAAAGGAGGCTTTTTTCTTTGCCTTTGTAATTTGAACTCTGAATTTCATCTCGGAGCTTAAGAGGAGGGAGCAAGATCCGCCATTTAGATTGTGCAGCAGTTCCTTCTCAGAGAGGTGTGACAGGGAGGCAGCAGGTTAGGTTTACAGGACTGGCACAGCTCACCAACGTCTTTACGCTCCCCGAAACATTGGCAATTTGTAAATGAAACATTTGCAACTGGTGACACTGCAAAATCAGAGCAAAAGCTATGGCAAAGGTGGGCAACAGAAAGGTTTTCTCTGCATTTCTTTCGGTGGTGGCATTGAGCCCAGAGCTGCAGGCACTATATGTCCCAGGTGTCAGTGCAGGTGTCACACAAAGGAAACATATGAAAGTGCCAAGGCACTGCTCAGACCAAGCTGTAGACTCCAGTCTTCCCTCCCAGGGGATCAGCCCATTAAGGAATCCCGAGAGCAGTCTGCAGACAGATGATTTAACTACACAGTCCACAGGGGATGCAATAGGCAGACCACAGCGAAAGAGCTTTCTGAACCAAGAATAAATCTGGCTCATCCTCAAAGTTTAGCAGCCCATTTAACAGATTGTAGTTGGGTTATGTAAAAAACATCACTCTTTGTTTCAGTAGCTGAATTCAAGTAACAAAAAAAAAACAAAACAAAAAACCACAACAAAGCATTGTTTTCAGTGGATGCAAGACAAAGTTTTCATCAAACCACACCTTAATCATTTCATATCAAATGCAAACATTTCCTTTGACAGAAAATGAATAATTTCATTCCACACATTCCCAGCTGAGCATTTCCTAACCCTCCTCAGAACCAGTCTTCTGTTTTCTCCCACAGAGGCTGTCCCCGATTCTCCCTCCAAGATCTCTCATCCCTCCTGGTGAGCAGAAATGGGGGACTGGAGTTTCCTGGGAGAGTTCCTCGAGGAGGTTCACAAACACTCCACAGTGGTAGGGAAGGTCTGGTTGACTGTGCTCTTCATCTTCCGGATGCTGGTGCTGGGCACAGCAGCAGAGTCCTCCTGGGGGGATGAGCAGTCTGACTTCATGTGTGACACCCAGCAGCCTGGCTGCGAGAACGTCTGCTACGACAAGGCTTTCCCCATCTCCCATGTCAGGTTTTGGGTCCTCCAGATCATCTTTGTCTCCACCCCATCTCTGGTGTACATGGGCCATGCGATGCACACAGTGCGCATGGAGGAGAAGAGGAAGATGAAGGAAGCAGAACTAGAGGCCCGTGAGATGAAGAACAACAGTGACACATACTACCAGCAGAAGTCTGCTGTGGTGGAGAAGGCTGAACTGTCTTGCTGGGATGAATCAGGAGGCAAAATCATACTCAGGGGCAGTCTGCTGAACACCTACGTCTACAGCATTTTGATTCGCACAGCCATGGAAGTGGCCTTCATTGTGGGACAGTACATCTTGTACGGCATCTTCCTGGAGACCCTGTATATCTGCCAGAGGGCACCTTGCCCCCATCCCGTCAATTGCTATGTTTCCCGCCCCACAGAGAAGAACGTGTTCATTGTCTTTATGCTGGCTGTGGCAGTGCTCTCCCTATTCCTCAGTCTGGCCGAGCTGTACCACTTGGGCTGGAAGAAAGCCAAAGAGAGGTGCTCCCGATCCTACAAGCCCAGCCCCAGCACAGTCCCTGGCAGACTGGAGTCTGCCCCGCAAGCAGAGAGGGCCCAGATGTACACTCCTCCACCAGATTTTAACCAGTGCTTGTCAAGTCCCAGCGGGAAGTTCATCAGCCCCTTCAACAATAAGATGGCCTCCCAGCAGAACACCGCCAACTTTGCCACCGAGAGGGTCCATGGCCAAGATGATGCTGCTGGTGAAGGGCCCTTCATTAAGTCCAGCTACTCGGAGAGCCCAGAGGTGGCCAACGAGTGCGCAGCACCCACCTTCCCTGAGAACTACTTCAACGAGAAACGTCGGTTCAGCAAGACCAGCCGTGCCAGCAGCAAGGCAAGGTCAGATGACTTGTCTGTGTGACCTGGCTCTAGGAGGGATGAGAAGAAGGAGCAGTCTCAGCACTTAGCGGACCTTCTGCAAAGTGGACTCCAGACTTTTGCCACTAACCTCGCTCTTTTTTAACACCCTCTTGCTCCTTTCCAGTGAACATCATTGCTGTATCGCAGACAGCGCCTGTCACAGCTTAAGGCAGGGACAGCCACCGGGAGACACACACTGAAGAAAAGCACCCATCTCAAGATGTGAAGCTCCAAGCCATATTTTCATCATGGGATGCGCAGAGATCTGAGATTCACCATCCTCAGCCTAGTAGAGCACAGGCCAGCAGACTCCTGAGGCTGACCAGCAGGTATCTGCTGTGACACTGTATTCAACAAACTGAACCTCAACCTCATTACATCTTTGTGTCTATTCAACATTTACCACATCAGCTTGGCAGTTATACAGAGCTGAAGCTTCCCTCACCTGCAGGAAGCAGAAACACACTGGTAGGCCTTCTGAAAGACTTTCTCATCTGCTTTGTTTTCAGCCTTTCTAACCCTCCCTTTCTCCTCCTGAGCCCAGATATTTTATAACAGTTTACCTATACAATAAAGCCTACTTGAATTTTTTGACATTGTATATATAACAATGCCCCATAAATATGGATGTCCATGGCCCCCACGCACAGCTGCCTTGTGTCTAACATTGGAATCCCTTCCTCATTCCTAAGTCAGCACAGCAGACTGGCCCCGGGAATATCGCTTAGATGACTGGTTGATGAAGACCAGGGAGTTTTCCCAAGACACTTATGCCATCAATTCTAAGCAGGACATCCATTAACAGAAATAGTCTCCTGTGAGAACAGATATCTCACTAGTAAAAAAGAGCAATTATCATGTGGAAACAAAGAGGGTTTTTCCCTCTTAAAACTCATCTTTCAAGCAACTTGAACGCTGCTGAAAGGGTGCTGCCAGCTGCCAACTTGAGAGAAAAAAATCCTCTGATTATCTGCATAACAGGTACGGCCTGTGTCTTCTCCTCACCAACTCACTAACACACTTCAGCATCTTTTGCCAGAAGCAAGAGTCCTCTCCAGGTCCTGCACATCACATCTTGGCTGCTCTCTCAAGCCTGCCAGCCAGCCAGTGCAAGCCAAGCCATTTGTCCTCGCAGCAAGCCCCTATTCTGCCATCAAGTCACCTTCATCTCCACTCTATCCCACAGTGTATATTGTGTAAGAAAGCACCCATGGACCAGCTTTTCCCATCTCTGTAACTACTCAGAGCAGCCACTGGGGCCCAACATTGCACAGTGAGTCTGGTGGGTGAGATCTATAGGCAGCTCCCACTCCAGATACCCCAGTGCAGAGCTGACATCCCTCTTTTAAAGAGATTTGCTAAACAGAGCTAAGCTGCTCCCTGTTGTTTACCCTGCACTGCTGTTTTGGACATGGGACACAGCTTCCCAACACTGGGCTGTATGAGTGAATGGCCAGGACCAGGTTATGAGGGGACTGAGCCATTCCCTCTCTTAAAGCCACCGAAAGGGATTGTGAATCCTTGCTCCTGATACATAATTAGCTTTGGTACAGTTCCCTGTACGTATGCATACACATTCACACACAGAGGGGGGAAACCATTTCTTTTGTTTGTAAGGTGTTTTATATATGTGTATTTTTTAATTCTGGAAAGACCTGCGTGCTCTCCTTAACATGAGACTTTAGTCAATCGTGCCTAAGTTTCTCCTAATAAAGTTCTAACTCCATCTCTCCTTGCTGAAGTTCCTCCTCTCACGTGGCTGAGAACGAGCTGCTAGCATCAACCAGGCTGCCCGCCAGCCTCTGCTGCTCAGAGATCACAGAAATCCTCATCGCTGGAGT